ATTTTAAGTTATAGCTACTTTAGTGGATAAACACAGATTGTCCAGCTAAATAGGAAACCACCAAGGACAAAAATAAAGTTAGACATCCCAAAGCTGAATGTTTTTGGGAATTGACGGGTTAGAACTGAGCCTTCTCCTATATTTCCCATATTTAGGTCTAAGCATATCTTCCTTCCTAATTATTTTAATTCTCAAATCACATTTAAAAAATCTTGTTATGTCATCACCCTGCAAATTGGAAAGAGATCAACTTACTATTCAGCTTAAATCCTTTTATGAAGTTATTTCAAAATTTAGGAAACTTCTCAAAATATTTTAATACAAAAATAATGTTACTTTTACAAAAATAGCTTAGGGAAATTGGGCCAGGTGCGGTGGCTCATGCCTGTAATCCCAAGACTTGGAGAGGCCCAGGTGGGCAGATCACCTGAGGTCAGGAGTTTGAGACCAGCCTGGCCAACATGGTGAAACCCTGTCTCTACTAAAAATACAAAAATTAGCCAGGCATGGTGGCACACCTGTAAAGCCCAGCTATTCGGGAGGCTGAAGTGGGAGAATCACTTGAACCAAGGAGGTGGAGGTTGCAGTGAGCTGAGATCATGCCACTGCACTCCAGCATGGGGAACAGAGCAAGACTCCATCTCAAAACAAAACAAAACAAAACAAAAAAAGGGCCAGGTGCGGTGGCTCACGCCTGTAATCCCAGCACTTTGGGAGGCTGAGGCAGGAGGATCATGAGGTCAAGAGATCAAGACCATCCTGGCCAACATGGTGAAACCCTGTCTCTACTAAAAATACAAACATTAGCTGGGCATGGTGGTGCACGCCTGTAGTCCCAGCTACCTGGGAGGCCGAGGCAGGAGAATCACTTGATCCTGGGAGGCGGAGGTTGCAGTGAGCCAAGACTGCACCACTGCACTCCAGCCTAGAGAAAAAGTGAGAGATTCTGTCTAAAAAAAAAAAAAAAAAAGAAGGAAAGAAAAAGCCAAAAAGATGAAGCCAGAAGTGGGGAACCAACAACCATTATTGTAGCAACGATATTAGAAGGATTAAGGATAAGGAAATTATTGGACTTGATTCCCTTTTTGTTTGAGACGGGGTCTGGCTGTGTCGCCCAGGCTGGAGTGCAGTGGCGTGATCTCGGCTCACTGCAACCTCCGCCTCCTGGGTTCAAGTCATTCTCCTGTCTCAACCTCCCAAATAGCTGGGATTACCGGCACACCCCACCACACCCAGCTAATTTTGTATTTTTAGTAGAGATGGGGTTTTGCCATGTTGGTCAGGCTGGTCTCAAACTCCTAACCTCAGGTGATCCACCCACCTCAGCCTCCCAAATTGCTGGGATTAAAGGGGTAAGCCACTGTGCCCAGCCTGATTTCCTTTTTATCATATTACAATACACAAACATTCCTTGGCTCCTTGGGTCAGCTGGTTTTCTTCAAGTGGGATTCTTTCAGCAGCCCTCTATTTGAGCCAGGTGCTAGGTTCAGTGAGAACACAACACTTATCTTTCCGGAAAATGGTCAGAGGAATCCAGAGATCCAACTGAAATCCAATCAGCCCATTTGTTTTACTGTTCAGTTCTTTAAGAACACAATAAGTTGTAGGAAATGATTTATACCTAGAAGAATTTTAGCACTTACCTAAAATAAGGTACGAGCTTCTGAACCCCATTTAGAACACTAAAAATAATCCATTTATTTCATTTACAATATTAGTGTTCAGTTACCATACTCACTCATATATTTTAGTAATATATCAAACTATTGAAAATTTGTTAACATTTAACTGAAAACCAAAAATACCCACCTGGCTAATGAAACAAAATTAAGCAGCTTTGTTTCCTGGCTGACAATGACCAAGAATAGCTTCAAATAATTCGTGAGCATTATCACTCAAAAATGTTATTCTATTTTATATCAATTGAATTTTTAGGATGCTTTAATACAGGTACTAAGCAGCTTTGTTTCGGCTGACAATGACCAAGAATAGCTTCCAAATAATTCGTGAGCATTATCACTCAAAATGCTATTCTATTTTATATCAATTGAATTTTTAGGATGCTTTAATACAGGTACATTATACACCAATTTTAAAAGTCTAGCAGGCCAGGCACAGTGGCTCACACCTGTAATCTCAACACTTTGGGAGGCCAAGGAGGTGAGATCCCAAGGTCAGAGATGGAGACCATCTTAGCTAACACAGAAACCCTGTCTCTACTAAAAATACAAAAATTAGCTGGGCGTGGTGACACACGCCTGTAGTCCCAGCTACTTGGGAGGCTGAGGCAGGAGAACCGCTTGAACCTGGGAGGCGGAGGTTGCAGGAGTTGAGATTGCACGACTGCATTTCAGTTTAAGGAGGGAGCGAGAATCTGTCCTCCCAAAAAAAAAAAAAAAAAAAGGTGAACTTGTTTTGAAAAATGGCACTTTTTAAAATTAGGGCAGTGGAATTTAAAATACTTGCATGAACAATGTTATGGATTATTTCCCCCCAGAATGTCATTTTCTTCTTATGTTATTGACTAGAAAAGAGTTGAAACTCTCGGCCGGGTGCGGTGGCTCACACCTGTAATCCCAGCACTTTGGGAGGCCAAGGCAGGTGGATCACTTGAGGTCAGGAGTTCGACACCAACCTGACCAACATGGTGAAACCCCATCTCTACTAAAAAAGTACAAAATTAGCTGGGTGTGGTGGCGCATGCCTGTAATCTCAGCTACTTGGGAGGCAGTGGATACATTTAAGAATTGCTTGAACCCCGGAGGCGGAGGTTGCAGTGAACTGAGATCGCATCATCACACTCAAAAGAAAGAAACCCTCAATAAAAAGCTGATATTCATAATTCAGGCTTAGATTAGTGGTGTTTATTTTAAGAGATAGGGTTCTTAGGTTTCTACTAGAAGGGTGTAGGAAAGATTTTTTAAAAAAGAGAGGGAGAGACTGAGTCTTACTCTGTTGCCCAGGCTGGAGTGCAGTGGCACAATCATAGCTCACTATAGCTTCGCTCACTACAGCCTCGAACTCCTGGGCTCGAGCAATTCTCCTGCATTAGCCTCCCAAGTAGCTGGGACTACAGGAACACATCTCCATGCCTGGATAATTTTTATTTTTTGTAGAGACAAGATCTCACTCTGTTGCTCAAGCTTGTCTTGAACTCCTGGCCCCAAGCAATCCTGCTCCCTTGGCCTCCCAAAGTGCTGAGATTACAGGTTTGAGCCACCATGCTCGGACAAGATTACATAAATTTTGAGAGTTTGATTTGGCCTTTAATAAAACCAGATCTGTAGAAAAAAATCTCATTTCAACAGGATCTCACTAGACCGAAACTTTTTGAAATGTTTTCATTGTTGCCCTTCATATTATGTAAAGGAATCACTTCTACTAAGGAAAATGACATAAGGAAATGTTTTAGAAATTATGAATACTAAAGATAAAGGAGACTAACCTATACACACACACACACACACATATATATCTTACAGAAAAAAAAACTCTTAGGCCTAGCTAAAATCCATTATTTCCATTTCTACCCATTTATTCATGCTCCTTAAAGCCCATTCCTGTTTATTCAACATTCTACAATTTTAATTTATAAACATGTAAAGTCCAAGAGCAGTGCTTGAACAATGCTGAAGGCATAGCACTGTCTGTACTAATCAGGTGGCATTTAAGTTTGTCTTACCATATTTACATAATTGTCTCCTCAAACAGACTTCACTCTTGAGAGTAGGGGCCTTTTTCTATCCCCAAAACCAAACATAGAGACTCACATTGGTAATGGCTATGAAAGATGCAGATCAGTGGATACATTTAAGAATTAATTTAAGTTGTAAAGAAATTAGACCTTTACAACTATTTCAAATGGACTAGTCCTGGACCACAGAGTTCACGGCCTGAGTATGGAAGCAATAAACAGCAGCAAACTGAAGCCAACCATAAACAAACTCTCAAGTTATGGGCACCAAATAATGCTAGTTTCCTGTGTCTAAGACCTTACCCAAGAAGAGGCACTTGTGAAAAGATGTATGCACAATTTTTAAAAGCCATTTTATTTATTTATTTATTTATTGAGACGGAGTTTCACTTGTCACCCAGGCTGGAGTGCAATGGCATGATCTCGGCTCACTGCAACCTCCGCTTCCCCAGTTCAAGCAATTCTCCTGTCTCAGCCTCCCTACTAGCTGGGATTACAGGTGTGTGCCATCATGCCCGGCTAATTTTTGTATTTTTAATAGAGAGGGGGTTTCACCATGTTGGCCAGGTTGGTCTTGAACTCCTGACCTCAGGTGATCCACCCATCTCGGCCTCCCAAAACTGCCGGGATTACAGGTGTGAGCCACTGCACCCAGCCTAAAAGCCATTTGCAAAGAAGTAATATACAAGACTTTTTTCAAGAGCTCGGGGGAGTGCCTCACATGCCCACAAAGGTTCTTTGCCAGAATTACACACATGCACCCAGTAGAAGGGCTTTGCTGGGAGTGCTGATTCTGCTCATTCTGGAGCTTATATTTCCTCAGTTCTAGAACTCCTAGAAAAACTAACATCTTATTATAAAAGTTATAAATCACAACATTTAAATAAGATCCCAAAGTGCTACTGCCTTCTTAGAAATTCAGCTATAGTCATTGTATTAATAAATGTATTTATAGGTGAGAGGTGGGTTTTGGTCTGTTCATCCTCAATCCTGTTCTTTCCTGACTTTAAGTCAATTCATTCACCACTCACTCATCAGCATTTATTGTATAGCTACTACAAGACAAGCCCTGGGCTAGGGAGTCAAAGAGAAATGACAACTGAAGTACAGTCCTGGCCCTGGAGCAGTGTAGTCACATTCTGCAATGTAGTCACATTCTGCGATGTACAGTTGGATTAATGCTATTTACTTACTCAGACTTCGCAAAAGGAAACAACCAGAGAAATAGTTTTTTTTCCTGTGATCGTAAACACTCTCTATCTGGTGGATTTGCTGTTCTTTCTTCTATATTCAAAAACAACCAATGCCTCTTTTGCTTTTAACTTTATTTGGCAAAGCAGCACTGCATAAACTGTTCAAGAACTGGGACACAGCTTACACAGCATGTTAAGTTCATGTACATTATCAGCAGCACATTAGAAACAGAAAACAACACTAAACTACAAGTCTCCTATAATTTTGAGAGAGAGAAGGGAAGAACTAAGTCAGTTATGTCCAATCTGAACAGCTGAGTGTTTACAGGACATCACCTGCCATCTTAAGGTTTAATATTTACAAATGCCTAGTTTTAAGGTAACAAAGCAGCTGATTGTATCTACAACATGCTATTCTATGACACCACATCAAAAGCTTTAAAAAGAAAGCTCATCTCTATTTTCTTAGTAGCATCTAACAGACATCCAAATACCAAGAATCTTAACTTGTGAATGGTGGTGTTATCCAATGCACAAAAGCAATCTGATAAATTAATATCAGAACAGAATTAAGTGTCCAAGAAAAGAAAAACCACTCCTCAAAATCAATTGACAAACTAAGTTTTCCATTTTTCAGAACCCTTTCTTTTAATATTACCAAGTAAAATATAGGCATGTTAAAGTAATATTACACAAATTTATACTCTGTATCCTTCCTCTACCAATTTGGCTCTGTGCCTCTTTGAAGAATCAGAAACCCTAAAAAAAAACACACATTTTCATGCTGAAAATAACAGTGTAACAAAGTCCAAAACAAGCTGTGATGGTGTTGGTTTTCAAAAAGCTTTGAGGACTGAGATGAGCAATCCACTGTAATTTTATACTGGTCAAGCTGATGTTGCTTTTACAATTCATCCCTGTGAGGATAAAAGAGAGAAATACATTAGTAGGAGTTACACACTGCCCAATTTGACTTTATAATAGTTTAGATACAACTATTAAGTCAATAAAAATGCACTGATCACCAAGCAACATATTTAAAAGATAAAAAAGCAAACAATCCAAGTGAAAGCAACAGAGGGTCAGCCATTCCAAACATCTTCCATGCCACTCCAGAATGAAGTATGCAACCTCAAGGGCGTGAGTTCTTTTTTATTTCTAAAAATAGATATCTTCCTTCAATGTCAAAATTCAGAAAAATTATCTTTTAGACCTATGTTCTTCTTTACACTATAGTAAAATGACAACTTAAGTGTTTTAGAGTTCAAATGAGTTAATAGTTACATTCACAAAATTGGACAAAAATGTGGTCTTTTGCTCAGAATGTCCATTAGCAATTGTGGAGTGGGTCAATCTCAACCTAAGCTCTCTGAGAGAAAAGGCATCATCTGTAGGTATAATATACCTGTCAGCTGATTTCATAAGGCAGCTTTATCAGCTCCAAAAGAAACCATTTGCTCAGCCAGGTGCAGCACTGTACCAGCAACTGCCAGTGAGAGGAAGGAAGGAATAAAAATGCAGTCTAAAATAAACTGTATGGTATCTCAATTATACCTCAGTAAAACTGTTAAAAGTGAAAAAATGAATAAAACTATGAGAAAAGCCCACAAGCCTCATAGCTGAAGGTGATCTGAGTGAAAAAACAAGAACTTTAGGGGTAAAGAAGCAAGATATTGATAATTAAGTCTCAAGTGGTTTAAGAAAAAGGAAAAAATTACATATATGTATATATAGAAAGAGGGGAAAGAAATGTAGAAAAATCTAATAATTGATGACTCTGGATGAAGAGATTTAGGAGTTATTTGTACTATCCTAGCAACTTGTCTGCAATAAAAATTAAAGGTAAAAGTTTTGAAAAAGTTGTTAAATTTGAAGGGAAGAAGAAATAAAGAGCTCATATTTCACAAGTAAGTGGGGGTAAATTACTGGACAATTTTTTAAAACTAAATTTTATAAATTGTGCAAGAAAATATTTTAAAAATTATTTCTCCAATAAGCTGCCTTTATCCTAGAGTATTGGATTATCTATTAAATGACAAATTATAAGTCTGCTTCCTCTTACTATATTCTACCAAATAACAATATTATAATTCTCATAGAACAGCTTTTACTTAAACTCATGCAGGCGTTAAAATATTTCGTCTACAAAGAATTACCTGCAAAGTGCTCTATTCATAAACTAAAATTCACTTGTGCTTTTTAGAATATGAATTGAAGAGATTGTTTTTCTTGTTTTGACTTTTTCTTTCTTTTTTTTTTTTCTGAGATGAAGTCTCGCTCTGTCGCCCAGGCTGGGGTGCAGTGGTGCGATCTCAGCTCACTGCAACCTCCGCCTCCCTGGTTCCAGTAATTCTCCTGCCTCAGCCTCCGAAGTAGCTGGGATTACAGGCAGGCACCACCACACACAGCTAAATTTTTTTTTTTGTAGTTTTAGTAGAGAGGGTTTCATCATGTTGGCCAGGCTGGTCTCAAACTCCTGACCTCAAGTGATCCGCCTGCCTCAGCCTCCCAAAGTGCGGGATTACAGGTGTGAGCCACCATACCCAAGCCAAAGATACTGTTATTTTTAAATAATTTACTACAATTTGGCCGGGGGCGGTGACTCACACCTGTAATCCCAGCACTTTGGGAGGCTGAGGCGGGCGGATCATGAGGTCAGGAGATTGAGACCATCCTGGCTAACATGGTGAAACTTCATCTCTACTAAAAATACAATTAGCCAGGCATGGTGGCATGCACCTGTAATCCCAGCTACTTGGGAAGCTGAGGCAGGAGAACTGCTTGAACCAGGGAGGCGGAGGTTGCAGTGAGCTGAGAACGCGCCACTGCACTCCAGCCTGGGTGACAGAGTGAGACTCCATCTCAGAAAACAATAATAATAATAATAATAATAATAATAATAATAATAATAATTTACAATTTACCTCCTGAAAGACATTAAGTATACTGTAAATAAATTCATGCCCCCTCAACAACATAGTACCATTTTCCCAACTATCCTCTCCATCTAAAAAATACTTTAAAAAAGGAAATTAGGTTTGTAGACCTGAATTTTAAAATTAGGGGTTCTAGGGAAAAACAAAAATTTGCTGCCAGCGCATGTACAATCTTGTAAAAGCCCATTACTCTAAATCCATGTAACTTTCAAATTATTAAATTTTTCCCAATGTCCAAAATTCTATATGACCATTTCTTTATCTGACTTACATGCAAAGATCATTTACAATAAAAAATAGCGTGTACTAAATTTTTAGAAAGGCTCTTTAAAATTGCTATATACTATGCTAAATATATTCATAAGGTTAATAACTATATATTTCTACTAGTATATAATTATATATAATTTAATTAGATTTTAATAACTCTATGATACTAACATTTAGTCTTATACATTCTTTACCAATAATAAATGAAAAGATATACTACAAGGAAACAATAATCAGAATCCATGAATGTTTTCTAATAATTTCATGGATCTTCCAAGGTAATAAAAGTGTTGTACAATTTGCTTTGTATGAAGCATTATGAGAGACAAAAAGAATTCCAAAAGTAACAGAAATATATCCCTTCTTTTAAGGATGCAATGTATGTCATAATACTGGAACATACGTAAAGAGATTAAAAAGGAACAATATAGAATATGGAACACAGGATCAACTGGATCCCTTAGCACCAATACTGTCAATCTTGGAAATGCAGTCAATTCCTAACACCTTTTTCACAGATGCAAGGCACTTTAAGAAGATATCAATAAACAAAGAGCTTATGGAATAATAAACTTGAACATTCCTCAGTTTCACAAACCAAAGATGGACCAATTACACTAACTCTTGTGACTATTAAAAACAAAAATAGTCTGGGTGTGATAGCTCACACCTGTAATCCCAGCACTTTGGGAGGCTGAGGCGGGCGGATCACTTGATGTCAGGAGTTTGAGACCAGCCTGGTCAACACAGTGAAACCCTGTCTTTACTAAAAATACAAAAATTAGCCAGGTGTTGTGGTGTGTGCCTGTAGTCCCAGCTATGCGGGAGGCTGAGGCAGGAGAATCACTTGAACCCAGGGGGCAGAGGCTGCAGTGAGCTGAGATCGCACCACTGTACTGCAGCCTGGGCGACAGAGTGAGACTCTGTCTCAAAAATATATATAAATACATAAAAGTAAAAATAAAGCTTTTACCAGAAAATTAACAAAATATTTTTACATATAAATATATTTATTTAAAATAAAATACATACTTAAGAACTATTAACTTTCTGTAGCAACTAATACAACTATTACATATCCATAGTCGTGAACACAATTCCACAGATTCTAGGTGTCTGGCCTATAGATCTGGCATTGTCTCCCCTTCTATTAATCCACCAAAATTACAAGTGACATCTTTCCAAGTGTAAAAAGACTCAAGTCTACATTCAAGTTTGGATCTTTACTTGGTACTAGAATTCCGCATGTCCACTAATTCTCATTTTTAAAAATACAGTTTCTGTCACATCTCCTCAGCAAAAATGGGACCTCATCCTTATCAGAGCACTGCAATTAGCTCTGGATTCCTCAGTAAGAAAGGTGGAAAGCTGGTGAGACACAAGAGAAGGTTCCTAGGAAAGTATTTAATGAGTTAAAGTAATCCTGAAGAAAGTTTGAGGCTGGTGGCTCAAGCCTATAATCCCAGCACTTTGGGAGGCTGAGGTGGGTGGAATGCTTGAGCTCAGGAGTCCGAGACCAGCCTAGGCAACATGGCAAAACCCCTTGTCTACAAAAAAAAAAAAAAAAACAAGAAAATCAGCTGAGTATGGTGACATGCCCTGTGGTCCTAGCTACTCAGGAGGCTGAGGCAGGGGGGTCGCTTGAGCCCAGGAGGTTGAGGCTGCAGTAAGCAGAGATCATGCCACTGCACTCCAACCTGGGTGACAGAGAGAGACTGTATCAAAACAAAACAAAATAAAACAAAACAAAAACAAAAACAAAGTTTGAAAGAACAGAAATCAAGTAGCCTGGCAAGAAGTTGACTAGGGAACTTTTTAGATGATAATTCCCAGAAAACAGTGACAGTTTTTTAGTTGTAGCTATCTACCCACTTCTCTCTATCCTTACTAACACTGCCTTAATGCAGACCATCATCATTTCACTCCTGAATTGCTATAACCACTTCCTGTTTCTGACTTGACTTTTGTCCCTTCCCAGGCTACTCTCTACACGACAGCTGGAGTTATCTTTCTGAAATGTAATTCTGATCACTTCACTGCCTGGCTCCCTACTGTGAGTCTGAACACTACCCTATAACAGACTATTCATCTTGGTCTTTGCATCTCCTACATTACTGTAAGCTCCATGAGAGCAGTCAGTTTCAAATTCACAGCTGACGACTCCTGGCACCTAGTACAGTAACTGGCCTAGTTGGCATATGCATATTGGTTAAATTCACAAATAATATTAAGATCCTCATGCTGAAAATATTTAACAACTGAACAAATGGCCAAAGAAAAGCATTAGATGTTTCTTTTCAAAGGCAATTTAAAATACACTTTTTTTGTCTGTCAAGAACAGTTTAAGCTTACATTGGCCTAAAGAGAACAGAAATAGTGCACACAAAAACTAGAGGACCCTCAAATCTATTCCAGACTTAAATTTTAAAAGAAGCATGGGTACCTACTTAGGGGAAAGGGAAAGGAGGTAGTGGTGAGAACTGATTTCAGACCACGTTTGCCACAGGGCCCCTTCCTCCGACTTCTGGTCTAAGTGATGCCCCATTAAGACAGCAGAGAGGGGAGATGAGAAAGCTGAGGTGACTCAGAGACCTAGTAGTAGCCACTTCCCTCTCTCACTACAGCTCCTGTCAGGAACCAAGCTCCCATGCTCTCCACCCCTGACCCTGGCTGTCCCTGTTCTCAATGGGTTTCAGTAAAGTTGTTTCCTACTACTTCCCCTTTAGGTCTATAATGGTAAAAGCTTCTTGCTATTACCCTGGGTGTCCCTGATCCCTGGGTATAACAACATCCTTTATTTGTTTCCATAACCTTTCCCATATTTCTCTGAAAAGTCCTTTCATTAAAATCATTTCAAAATCCTGTCTGAGTACGCCTTCTGTTTCCTGGCTGGATCCTGATTGACAAGTTTATCGACACAAAGAGATATTACAGATGAATGGTCTCTTCAGATTTTAGGTTAACTATTGATGTTGTCCCCTCTAAAACATCCTATTTTCCAGTAATATTTTAGGCCAAATTTTTTTTTTTTTAATGTAGTAGTTTGGTTTTTTCCCAATTTAGTTTCTAGATTTTATTTTACCTTTATTTATAGTATTTAAACTTTAAGAATTACAATCAAGCAACCATCTTTTTAATTAGAACCAATCTCTGGATACAGGAAAATGTATTTCAACAAAGAGATTTTAAAAATCTACAACAGAAAAAATTGGAAAGTCCTCTTGGTACAGCTGGAGAAAATTTTTTTTTCTGATGGTGCAAACATGTAAATTTGCTTGATTTCTTTTTTTCTTTTTGAGACAGAGTCTTGCTCTGTTGCCAGGCTAGAGTGCAGTGGCGCAATGTAGCGTCACTGCAATCTCCGCCTCCTGGGTTCAAGCAATTCTCCTACCTCAGCCTCCTGAGTAGCTGGAATTACAGGTGCCCGCCACCACGCCCAGCTAATTTTTGTATTTTTGTATTTTTTTAGTAGAGATGGGTTTTCATGATGTTGGCCAGGATGGTCTCGATCTCCTGACCTCGTGATCTGCCCGCCTCGGCCTCCCAAAGTGCTGGGATTACAGGCATGAGCCACTGTGCCCAGCCTAAATTTGCTCAATTTTTTAAAAAACTTTGAAGGTTAAAAGGAAAACCAGGTATACACTTTTTTTTTTTTTTTTTTTGAGACAGAGTCTTGCTCTGTTGCCCAGGCTGGAGTGCAGTGGCGTGATCTCAGCTCACTGCAAGCTCCGCCTCCCAGGTTCACGCCATTCTCCTGCCTCAGCCTCCCGAGTAGCTGGGACTACAGGTGCCTGCCACCACGCCCGGCTAATTTTTTTTGTATTTTTAGTAGAGACAGGGTTTCACCGTGTTACCCAGGATGGTCTCGATCTCCTGACCTCATGATCCACCCGCCTCCGCCTCCCAAAGTGCTGGGATTACAGGCATGAGCCACTGCACCCAGCCTAAAAGCAAGTATACATTTAATGTTTAGCAGATGACTGAATAATTGTCCATAAATTTAAAAATTATTCTAAATGTTTTTTTAGAGATAAGGTCTTGCTCTGTTGCCCAGCCTGGAATGCTGTGGTGATCACAGCTCACAGCTGCTTCTGGGCTTAAGTGATCCTCTCATCTCAGCTTCCCAAGTAGCCAGAACTAGAGGTGCACACCACCACGCCTGGCTAGTTCTTAAATTTTTAGTAGATATGAGGTCTCACTATGTTTCCCAGGCTTGTCTTGAACTTCTGGCTTCAAGTGATCCTCCCACCTCAGCCTCCCAAAGCATTGGGATTACAGGCATAAGCTACCGTACCTGGCCCTATTTTAAATTTGTTAATACAAATAGTTTGGTTTTATCAAGGGTGGATTCAGGTTTTGTGGCGGCCTAAGGTTTATATAATTAGAGAGCAGGGGAACCTTTTTATGAAGTTAAAAAAAAAAAAACAGTAAGACTATGCTTAATATAAAATTAAGAACAGAGCCGGACATGGTGGCTGACGCCTGTAATCCCAGCACTTTGGGAGGCCAAGGCGGGCAGATCACCTGAGGTCAGGAGTTCAAGACCAGCCTGGTCAACATGGTAAAACCCCTTCTCAACTGAAAATACAAAAATTAGCTGTGCACCTCTACTCCCAGCTACTCGGGAAGCTGAGGCAGGAGAATCACTTGAACCTGGGAGACGGAGGTTGTAGTGAGCTGAGATTGCACCACTCCTCTACACAGCCTGGGTAACAGAGCAGGACTCTGCCTTAAAAAAAATTTTTTTTAATTAAATTAAGACCAGGGTAGGGGAAAACCTAGGCAAGCAAGGGCTCTGCAGCTTCAGCTTTGTCAGCTTCACAGTAAATCTACCTCTAGTCACAAAAACAAAATTCTCTTTTTATAATTCCTTCATAATTAAGTTATAGGCAAGATGTTCACTAATATTTATTGTATATAAAAAGAAAAATTTCAAAGTTTCTAATGAAAATCAACTCTTATCAAATTTCAGTAACATATTTGCCCCTTTTATACTATAATAATCTCACAATTATGTAATTGTATAAACCATACAGTAAGAAGCAAAGTGAAGGAAGGTTGTAGTTAGTTGTTAGTAACTACATCTGATTCCAGTTGAAAAAACCAGTAATTTTTTAAATGCCTTTTTAATTTTAATTTTTATTCATTTATTTATTTTTTGAGACAGAATCTTGCTCTGTTGCCCAGGCTAGAATGTAGCAGTGTGATCTCGACTCACTGCAACCTCCGCCTCCTGGGTTCAAGCGATTCTCCTGCCTCAGCCTCCTGAGTGTCTGAGACTACGGGTGTAAGCCACCATGCTTGGCTAATTTTTGTGTTTTTAGTAGAGACACGGTTTCACCATGTTGGCCAGGCTGGTCTCAAACTCCTGACTTAAGATGATTGGCTCGCCTCAGCCTTCCAAAGTGCTGGGATTACAGGCATAAAATGCCTGGCCTAAAATGCTTTTTTTTTTTCCAGTGGCTGTGCTCCAGGCTATAATTCACAGAAAATAGCTATTGGTGAAGAATAAAAACAAAATTGAGAGATCTATTAAACTTATTATCACCCCTTTTACTTATTAAGAAAATAATTATTTTAAAATACGAATCTTTATGTCAAATAAAAATAGATTCTAAGACAAGGAAACTGTAAAGCCTTTCTTGTTTTGGCATTTAATTTCAAGTAATTTGGGCTAATGGCACTGTTATGTACTGATGTCACTCTCTCTCATGGAAGGGAGTGGGAAGCAGAGGAAAAGAGAAGAGAAATCTTGGCTTCAAACAAAATACTCAGATTATGCTGAGACATAAAACAAAAGTGGACATTCTTTATAAGCCATGCTGTGCTGAAAGTTGCTGCATGCTGCTGACCCTTTGGGTGGGTTTGTGAGACTTGGGCACTCATTGGGTAACTTGTAGAATCCTTGCCTGTCCCTAGGAATTTAGCCAGAATAGCTTAAACAGTGGTTGGCCTATTCTATAGAATGGGGAGAAGGTGAATCTTAAACAGGGCTGAATGAAAAATAGATATGGGCTGTCAAGTATCTATGATTTGGTTGAAACAGATAAACCAAGCTGAGAGGTAGAATGTCCTCTCTGGTATTGTCACATTTTAGAAAATTGAGACAACTGTTATCTTTCCCCTTCTTTCTCCTTGTGGGTACAATAAACAGGGCAGGAAATGATGGCCCCTTGTTTTTTTTTTTTGTTTTTTGTTTTTTTTGAGACAGAGCCTCGCTCCGTGTCCCAGGCTGGAGAGCAGTGTCAAAATCTCGGCCCACTGCAACCTCGACCTCCGGGCTTAAGCGATTCTCCTGGCTCAGCCTCCTGAGTAGCTGGGATTACAGGCCTGCGCCCCAACGTCCAGCTGATTTTGTATTTTTAATAGAGACGGGGTTTCACCATGTTGGCCAGGCTAGTCTCAAACTCCTGACCTCAAATGATCTGCCCACCCCGGCCTCCCAAAGTGCTGGGATTACAGGCGTGAGCCACTCCACCTGGCCTCTTTTACAGACCAAACTCATTGTTTCCATGCCCATCCAGTGCTATAAAAATAATTTAAAAATATAAAAACAGAGTGGCTGATAATGAATAAAAAATCCTTACAAAGTACTGAATTGCAGCTGAAAATCTCTTAAAAAAAAAAAGAAAAAAAAAGCCTTTGTGCCAACCAAGTCTCACCCTCCCTTTCCCAAAGATACATATGTTAAACCAAAATAAGGGCAGACCATGCAACATTTTTCACATTTTTAATGTAATGAATTTCTGATGTTATAATGGAGGAGCATAAAGGTGACAACCAAAAACAGCTCTTGTAATCTAATGTCTTAAAATCCACACCCTTTCACCTTGCATGTGTGGAAGAAGAAAGAGCAGAAGATAAAATCACTTCCACCTGGACCACTGCTTTTCTTTATCTGTTAAAGGCACGTATATCACCCCCATCAGAGGCTTCATTTTGACGCTGCCATCTTGTAGCTTGTCATACTGCTCCAACATTTGGTTTCCACCTGCAGGACCAACTGGCAATATCAATCTTCCTCCAGGCTTTAACTGGTCTATTAGCTAAAAGGAAAAAAAAAAAAAGCACATACACATCAAGTTACAGATTTTATTTTATTTTATTTATTTATTTATGAGACAGGGTCTCACTCTGTCACTCAGGCTGGAGTGCAGTGACATGATCTCGGCTCACTGCAACCTCTGCCTCCTGGGTTCAAGCGATTCTCCTGCCTCAGTCTCCCAAGCAGCTGGGACTACAGGCACATGCCACCATGCCCTGCTAATTTTTGTATTTTTAGCAGAGATGGGGTTTCACCATATTGGCCACACTGGTCTGAAACTCCTGACCTCAAGTACTCCACCCACCTCCGGCTCCCAAAGTACTTGGATTACAGGTGTGAGCTACCGTGCCTGGCCCAGATTTTATACTAATAGTCATTTGACATCATTATAAACAACTTTTAGTGTCCATGGGCAGAAAGCAGAAATGTTCTTCATTTAGTATATACAGGTTAAGGCCGGACATGGTGGCTCACGCCTGTAATTCCAGCACTTTGGGAGGCCAAGGTGGGCAGATCACTTGAGGTCAGGAGTTTAAGACCGGCCTGGCCAACACAGTGAAACCCCAACTCTTCTAAAAAAGTACAAAAATTAGCCAGGCTTGGTGTCGGATGCCTGTAGTCCTATCTACTCAGGAGGCTGAGGCAGGAGAATTCCTTGAACCCGGAGACGGAGGCTGCAGTTAGCCAAGATCACGCCACCACACTCCAGCCTGGGTGACACAGCGAAACTCCGTCTTAAAAATAAATATACAGTATATACAGATTGAGCATCAATAATCTGAAAACCCAAAACTGGAAATGCTCCAAAATCCAAAACTCTGAACATCAACATGATACCACAAGTAGATAATTTCACATCTGACCTCATGTGGCAAGTCGCAGTCAAAATGCAGTCACAACTTTATTCCATGCACAAAATTATTTGAAATATTACATAAAATTACCTTCAGACTATGTGTATAAGAGTTATAACATAAATGAGTTTTGTTTAGACTTGGCCCCATCCCCAAGATATCTCATTATGTATATGCAAATATTCCAAAATGCTAAAAAATCTGAAAAAATCCAAAATCCAAAACACTTCTGGTCCCAAGCATTTTGGATAAGGGATACTCACCCTGTACATACTTTGATTGTTATATTATTACTCAACTATCAGCCTCCTCTACTAAACTACAAGCTCTTGAGGATGGGGACTGTGTCTTACTCATCTTTGTGCCTTTAGCATCTAACACAGTACCTGGTACAACTGCAGTGCTCAAAATGTTTGAACTGAACCACCTAATATAGAACTATCCTCTTGGCAGGCCAAAGGCAGAACATAGAATTCTAATGCCTGTGTGCCTGTTTGGAACCTTTGTGGATTCGAAGGGAGGAGGAGGGGAGGAGAGGAAGTGTAGAAAATCAACAAGGAATCCCTATCGTATTATTGTAGAATCTAGGGCATCACTGAAGGGATAAGGGAACCCTAGTTATATGATTAAATTCAGGTTTACTGGTACCACAAGGAGGGAAGGTAGGGCTGGAATCCCTGTAGCATTACAATGAGGACACTCCTGTCAATGAAGAACCAAGAGTACTCAATGAAAGCTCTTACAGTCAGAAAACTTTTAAATCATGTTACCATTTTCATATAGCTTTATGGATCACTATTAATAAAAGACATTAAAGAAGAAATCTTACTTTGGTTTTTTGTTTTGTTTTTTTTTTTGTTGTAGTTTTTTTGTTTTTTTTTGAGACTGAGTCTCACTCTGTCACCCAGGCTGGAGTACAGTGGCACAATCTCGGCTCACTGCAACCTCTGCCTCCCGGGTTCAAGCGATTCTCATGCCTCAGCCTCCCAAGTAGCTGGGATTACGGGGTGCCCACCACTGAGCCCGACTAATTTTTTTTGTATTTTTAGTAGAGACGGGCTTTCAACATGTTGGCCAGGCTGGTCTCAAACTCCTAACCTCAAGTGATCCGCCTGCCTTGGCCTCCTAAAGTGCTGGGATTACAGGCATGAGCCACCACACCCAGCCAGAAACCTTATTTTAGGTATTTATTACCTCAAGAAAGGGTGCCCTCAGTCAAAATTTTGGTTGTCTGCAAATCTATTTTGTCGTTTTTCTCAATTTCAAGGCTTATAATGATAAACAGCTGACTTCCTCTCCCTACCCCACCCTTGCTCTCTAAATCCAGTTATTTCAAATCATTTTAGCTATGTCTTCTAGTATTTACCTTTATATTTCAAACATAAGCTAGATAAGGATTGAACTCTCTTAATCTACATTCTGCTTCCTTCCCCCAAACCAACCAATCATTTTTTATTAAAATCATTTCTAGTTATGACTCTGTAACTATGATTTGCTGCTGAGTCAAGAAGTATCCAATGATTGTTTCCTTTCCTCCTCTTGCTCCAAATCTGAGCTGGTTATTCTCCAGGCCTGCCGCACAGCTTCCATCTAGGCCCTTCCCTTTGTAACAATCCCGTAAACTTCCATGCCTCTGCCTGATCAAGATGCCCTATGTGGTTTCCTCTTTTGGTTTTTCCTACTGTCTGTCTCTTCCCTCATTTCATTTTTGGATGACAAAAATGGCATTTTAAGACATTAAAATTTAAGACATTTTAAGACATCTTAATCATTTAAGAAAGTTCCTTTGGAAGCATTTTGTGAAATAGTGCATGGAATGTATTAAAAGAAAGAGATGGAGATTTGCAAACCTAAAACTATCTTTAATCTATTTGGTGATGTGTGTGCATACATAATTCAAGGTTGGAAATAATTTTCAGCTCAGACTTTGATGGTTTGGTACTCTGACTTACAAATTCTAATGCTGTTTGCAGTTTGATGCCTTTCTGATTACCAGTCCTTAACAGGAGATCTGTTTTATTTTTCTAGAAGCTTTCATTCATTCATTTATTTATTTATTTATTTTTAGAGACAGGGTCTTGCTCTGTCACCTAGGCTGGAATACAATGGTGCAATTATGGTTCACTGAAATCTCAACTTCCCGGGCACAAGCAATCCTCCCACCTCAGCCTCCCACGTAGCTGGGACTACAGGCACAGGCTGCCACATCTGGCTAATTTTTAAATTGTTTTGTACAGATGGGGTCTTGATATGTTGCCCAGGCTGGTCTCAAACTCAGGTCCTCAAGAGATCCTACTTCCTTGGCCTCCCAAACTGACAAGACTACAAGTGTGAGCCACTGCACCTGGCCTCTAGCGGCTTTCAGAATCTTCTCTTTATCCCCTAATATTCTGAATATACATGATATGGTTCTTTTTTCTTATTTTAAAAATTCTTTGTGTTAGGCACTCAGCTGCAAACTATAGAATTATGTCCATCGGTTTTTAGAAAATTTCTTACTTAGGGATTAGTGCTGATTATTCCTCATGCGGAGTTTCAAGCAGCACTCCCTCTTTTCAGACCCATGCTTTACCTATGATTTTCAAGGTCTTGATGCCACCAATTCCTAAGCCTTTTCAGAGTTTTGCAGAGCAAACTGCGTATGCATAATATTTCACTCTGTAGTCTCTTTAGTTTCCATTTCCTCCACCCTCCTGGGTCAGCTATTATTCCATCTGCTTTTTATCTTCACACACTGTAGAGTTCAGGATTGCAGGTACAGTCTCCTAGTTAATTGAGTATGGAGTTTATGCTTCTGTTTTTCTGGCTATCTTGGGGTGATATCCAAGAGAAGGCATAAACCTCTTCATTCTGCTATCTTAAAACTGGAAAGCCGCTTCAGTACATCTATCTTAAATCAGATGTATACATACCCCTATAATACTTGCAAGTATTACTACAATATTTAAATTCAATTTAATTAGATCTAGAAATATCTTTCAAGATCACCTCAGGGTCCCAGTAGGGAGAAATGGGCCCTGCACCCACTCCCCTCATTTAAGCACAGTTCTATTTCAGGTTTTAACTGTTCACTCTAGGTTGTCAATATTTTTTTTTTGAAAAGTTAAAAACTCATTGGTCATGTATTCAAATTCAATTGAGCTGCTTGTTTATGACTTGTAAAACTCTCTGTATTATATTAATACTTCAGTTAAAATGTGTTAAAACCACTGGTTCAATCTACTTTTTTTTTTTTTTCGAGACAGGGTCTCACTTTGTCACCCAGGCTGGAATGCAGTAGTGCAAGCATGGCTCACTGCAGCCTCAACCTTTCAGGCTCGGGCAATCCAAGCTATCGTCCCACCTCAGCCTCTTGAGTAGCTGGGACTACAAGTGCCTGCCACATCTAATTTTTGTATTTTTTGTAGAGATGGGATTTTGCCATGCTGCCAAGGCTGGTCTTGAACTTCTGAGCGCAAGTGATTCATCTGCCTTAGCCTCCCAAAGTGCTGGGATTACAGGCGTGAGCTACTTTAAAAACAACAACAACAAAACAAAACAAAACAAAAAACAGATAATCAACAGGGCCAAAGCAATTAAGTGATTTTCCCAGTCACTTGGCCAATAAACAGCAAGTCAATGACCAGAACAAATTATCCAACTTTCAGCTTCCCATAACTGATCTAAGCCTACAAAAAAACCAGATGAGACTAGGCAGAAGAAACAGTGTCACCTTCATCCCCTGGTCATCTAGTCAAGAACTACACAAGAGGCATGTGTAACAGAAATCTAGGACCACAGGCTAGAGTGCCACAGCACAAACATGGCTCAATGCAGCCTCAACCACTTGGGCTCAAGCAATTTTCCCACCTCAGCCTCCAGAGTAACTGGGGCTACAGGCATATGCACCACCATGCCTGGCTAATTTTTTTTCTTTTAAACAGGGTTCTTGCCATGTTACTCAGACTGGTCTCAAACTCCTAGGCTCAAGCAATCCTCCCACCTTGGCCTCCCAAGGTGCTGGGGTTACAGGCATGAGCCATCATGCCTGGCCATATATCCTACTATTCTTTAAGATTCAGTTCAAGTTCCATCCCTATGTGATGTCTCCTTGACCACTCACTGCACAATTCTCTCCCTCATATGCATATTTTATTTTCCTTCCAATAGATATCATGTGTTAATTATATGCTGTCATATCGCTAATTTCCTGGTTACATATATGACATATCTCTTCTAGAATACAAGCTTTGTGAGAATAAAATATATGGCAAATACTTTCTCATATCTCCCATATACCAAATACAGCCGTACATATTATGGTATTTAAAAAACATCAAACTGGCCGGGCGCAGTGGCTCACGCCTATAATCCCAGCACTTTGGGAGGTTGAGGTGGGCAGATCACCCGAGGTCAGGAGTTCGAGACCAGCCTGGCCAACATGGTGAAACCCTGTCTCTACTAAGAATGCAAAAATTAGCTGGGCGTGGTGGCAGGCGCCTGTAATCCCAGCTATTTGGGAGGCTGAGGCAGGAGAATCACTTGAACCCAGGAAGTGTAGGTTGCAGTGAGCTGAAATTGCGCCACTGCACTCCAGCCTGGGCGACAAGAGCAAATCTCCACCTCAAAAAAAAAAAATCAAACTGATTATCAGGTCATAAACTCCAAAGGGATTTTCCCAATTCTACTGTTGTCCTAGTTCTTACCTGGATCAAATATGAGCGCCACAAGCTGGGGTTTAGTAATTTTCATGTCATTTATACAATTGTTTGCATATGAAAAAAGAAGAGAGTAATAGCTAATTGTAACCAAAATGTACGATACGAAAATCTAATTATATTTTAAACATCATCTAGAAGTCTTTTCTATTTAAGTCTTGTAGAGTTTTAGCTGAATAAAACACACAAACAGAAAAAAATCCCGACTCACCGCCTGGGGTACAACGGGGGCTGCAGCTCCTACATGAATGGCGTCATAAGGGGCTTCTTCAGCATATCCCATTCTTCCATCCCCCACTGAAAGAAAAACAGCTATGCTTTAAAAACCTGTTCAGATCAAACTTAATGTGAAGAATTCTAGTACAGGAGGTTTACAATGCAGAAAGGAGAGATTTTTCAATAAATAATCCTGGGACAACTGGATATTCACTTTTTTTGCTGTTTTTAACTCATTTTATTATATTTTTGGTTTGGTCAGAAACATTAAAACAATGGAATTTGATTTTGATGAAAAACTGGAGTTTACAATCATTTAGTAAATGAAAAGCACTTCATTTTCCTATCTCGCAACTCTTTTTTATGAACTCCTAACCTCAGGTGATGCACCCAACTCAGCCTCCCAAAGTGCTAGGTTTACAGGCATGAACCTGTATCCCACAACTCTTAAGAACAAAAGCATTAGTAAATACATATCTGTGAACAGATAAAGGAAAGGCAAACTGGATAATAAACCACCTCTGTCGTTCACACTCCCTGCACGTGACTCACTCTAAAGGGTGAAACGCACTGGAGATAACGGAACTCATAAGTTGTGTTTTAAATCTCATCCTAATCATTCAAATAAACCCAAGATAAATAATTTTTACTCCTTATGGGCAGCAAACTACATGAATTTTACTGGAGGAATACTTTGGCAGAAGCACCTATTTAAGTTAACTTAATATATAGTAACTTAATAGTACTACATTCAAAAGCAATACAAGATAGTCCCATGCTTCTCTCAATTCAGGAACAGTTATGCCATCAGGACAACAGGTAATTCCTATTTTATAGTAATCCAGAATAGATTGAAACACAGTGGAACCAATTCCCTCTGCTACTTCATACTCTCCTTTCTCATTGGGTTGTGTAAAGTTATGTTCTTGGCCAGATCCAAACAAACATCCTGCCCAACACTGTATTTGGTTCTGCAGGAGAAACATATGGGTCTACAACAAATCTAGTGTTACTCACTATTGGTGCTATTCGTTCAGATGTTCTTATATTCCGAGCTCCTTCTTTTGCATTCTCAAATACAAACACCATCTCCCCAGATATCTTAACAGCTATTATCTAAACCTGACTGACTACTGTTTCTAATGCTGTTCCCAGCACTGCTAATGCAACCATGTGGGGAGGCTTTTGGAGAACAAGGACTGCTTGGACAAGAGGAACTGTGCTCAGGTAATCCGCCCGCCTCGGCCTCCCAAAGTGCTGGGATTACAGGCATGAGCCACCACGTCCAGCCGGAGAAGTAACATTTCTAATACAAGAAATGAGTTGAGACGCTGTTCTTTCATGAGATGAATCCCATGATCTGTCACTTGACCTTCGTCTATCTCTTGATCTCTCATGTCTCTCACTGGCAACATGAGACTCATTTTGGTGTGGTTTACTCCTGTATTCCCCTTTCAGTGCCCACAGAGGATCAGGGCAAAGGCCAAGGCCAGCAACACCTCCACTTCCTCCTCAGCCACATCCCTCTAGAAGTGGCTGTGGAGGCAGCCACTCAGGCGGCTGTGGCTACTAGAGCTGCCAGGGCCTTTATTTTATTTTTTATTTTTTATTTTTTTTGAGACGGAGTCTCGCTCTGTCGCCAGGCTGGAGTTCAGTGGCGTGATCTCAGCTCACTGCAACCTCTGCCTCTCGGGTTCAAGCGATTCTCCTGCCTCAGTCTCCTGAGTAGCTGGGACTACAGGCATGTGTCACCACACCCACCTAATTTTTGTATTTCTGGTACAGATGGAGTTTCACCATGTTGGTCAGGCTGGTCTCAAACTCCTGACCTCCTGATCTGCCCACCTCAGCCTCCCAAAGTGCTGGGATTACAGGTGTGAGCCACGGCTCCTGGTCAGTATTTTATTTTTTAAATAGAACTGAGTGTGTCTGGGGAAGACAACTGGATATTCCTATACAAAAACATGTAACTGCACCTTTACCTCATACATACACAAAAACCAACATCAGGAAGATCAAAGACCTAAACATGAAAAGCTAAAAATGATAAAGGTTCTAAGAAATAATAAGAGACATATCTTCATGGCCTCAGAGTATCCTTAAAAAGGACACAGAAAGCACTGAAGAAAAATTGGTAAGTCTGAGTACTTTAAAATTAAGAATTTCTATTATCAAAAGGGTACCAGTAAGATGAAAAGGCACACCCCAGATGGGAGAAGAAATGTATTTATATATATAAAGGGCTAGAAGCCCTATAAGTCAAAAATACAAGCAATCCAATATCTGAACAGGCACTTCACAAAAGACAAAATCCAAATGGCCAAACACATTACAAAAAATTCAATCTCATAGGTTAATAGGAAAATACAAAATTAAACTTACAAAGAGATGACTGCAAAATACTCACTAGGTGAGCAAAAAGAATCGTTTTTATTTTTTAATACTTAAAAGTGACTGTAAAAAAAATACAATAATTATATCTGAGTATTATTTAGCTTGCATTGGATCGTCTGAAAATAAAAATCCTCTGAAGAAATTTTTAAAGTTTTCTGATACTCACCAACAAGCTGTACTCTCCCTGAAGACAGAAGTGTTGGATCGTCCTTCCTGACATTATTTATTGAGTCATCTACTAGCTCTTTAATGTGATCAATTCCTATGACTTTTCCAGTACATCCAACCTTGAAAAGAGGAAACAATTCAGTAGTTCATTGGGCTAAATTTGTTTTTCTAAAGTATTATTGAAGTTTTTCCTTATCTAAAGTCATATTCTGCAAAGAGAAAACAAAAATAACTTAAGCCTTCTATAGATTGCTAAACACTCAGTTTATCATACATTACTTACCATATATACACCTTTCTCAACCATCACTCCCATTGAATAAAATTTATAATACTAAGAAAAATTATTTTCTTAGATTAAATCCAGAACTTTGAAGAAAATTACCAATATTTAATAGTAGTACAATAATTTTTTATTTAAATGCCATCTAAAGTATAACTTTAAATATTAAAATGTTACATAATGAATTTGACAGGGAGGAATTTTTTTTTTCTTTTTTTGAGACAGAGTCTCGCTCTGTCACCCAGGCTGGAGTGCAGTGGTGCAATCTCAGCTCACTGCAACCTCTGCCTCCCGGGTTCAAGCGATTCTCCTGCCTCAGCCTCCTGAGTAGCTGGGATTACAGGTGCGCACCACCATGCCCGGCTAATTTTTGTATTTTTAGTAGAGACAGGGTTTCACCATGTTGGTCAGCCTGGTCTCAAATTCCTGACCTCGTGATCCGCCTGCCTCGGCCTCCCAAAGTGCTGGGATTACAGGAGTGAGCCACCACATACTCTGCCTCCCGCCTGATGGGAAGAAATTTCTACACTTGATTCTACTGCTGTTAGTAGAAAACAAGAATATATATACAGTGGCTCACATCTATATTCCCAGCACTTTGGGAGGCAGAGGCAGGTAGACTACTTGAGCCCAGGAGTTCGAGATGAGCCTGGGCAACATGGCAAAACCCCGTTTCTACAAAAGAATACAAAAACTAGCCATGTGTAGTGTCATGTGCCTGTGGTCCCACCTACTCAGGAGGCTGACATGGTGCAAGGATCACTTGAACCTGGGAGGCAGAGGCTGCAGTGAGCTGAGATTGTGCCACTGCACTCCAGTCTAGATGACAGAGTGAGACCGTCTCAGAAAACAAAAAACAAAAAGCAACAACAACAAAAATCCCTTCTTTGCATATTTATTTATTTGTAAATTAAAATATTAAGTATAAATGTTTTGAAAAAATATAAAAATTTTAAAAAGTAACCCTTATAAAGGCTTTGAAGTCAGACTATCTGGGTTCTTGTCTAAGTGTCATCACTTGCATACATACGTACCTTGGCAAGTTAACCATTCCTTCTCCTTTTTTTTTTTTCTTTGAGATAAAGTCTCGCTTTATCAGCCAGGCTGGAGTACAGTGGCACGATCTCAGCTCACTGCAAGCTCTGTCTCCCGGGCTCAAGCAATCCTCCTGCCTTAGCCTCCCAAATAGGTGGGATTACTGGCATGTGCCACCACACCTGGCTAATTTTTGTATTTTTAGTGGAGAGGGGGGTTCACCATGTTGGCCAGGCTGGTCTCGAACTCTGGACCTCAGGTGATCCACCTGCCTCGGCCTCCCAAAGTGGTGGGATTACAGGTGTGAGCCACCACACCCGGCCAATCATTCCTTCTATGAATCAGGTTCCTCAGTACAAAATGGGGAAGAAAAAGGCATATACCCCATCATAAAAATGGGGTAACACTTAGAACACAGGCACTAGTGTTTAAAACACAAAGCACTTTCACACATGGTAAATGTGTGAAAAACATTAATGCCATTTTATGAAAAATAACTCAGGAACCAAATGAGTTTTTAAAATGAATACATCCTCTAAAACTATAAACATGTCAAGTATAGAGAATGAGTCATTTATTAAATGGTATTTCTAATCTTAAAAAAAAATCACCAATACCCATGAATAAGGACTTAACCTCTACAAAATGAGCAAAACATCTGAGAAAATATGAGTCCCTATTATGTGCCAGGCATTGTTTTAGATGTTTAGGATACCATCAATGAAAACAAAGAGCAGAGAAAATGCCCAACTCCCTGGAGCTTACATTCTAGTAGGTCTGCTGATTATACATTTATAGCAAGTTACATGGATTCTAGTCCAAGGTGGATCCACAACTCCCAATTTAACTAGATCAGAATCTTCCAATCTGGCCTCCAGGCACGATATTTCTCAAATCACACTGATTTGATGATCTAAACAAAGATCAACCTTTACTCCAACATACATCAGTGGGTCCCCAGTTAATACTCTGGATAGCCATTGACCAGATAAGGCTCTGATGAGAAAAGGCAGAAGTATAACAACAAGGCATTATTTTTCTAAGAGCACTTTTTCTAATGCAAAAGTTCTACCTTCATCCTGGTAAACCTGTAGGAATGTTTAGAAACCAGGCTCATTCTCAGCAGGGACAGTGGAGAGGGTGCTGGGAGATGAGTCCCCTGGGAGGGGGGCCCGGCTATGATGCTAAATATCTCAGGCTCCTGAGTGGCTGGATTTCCCTGGGACTCTCAGACATGTCGCAGGGCCAGGTGGGAAAACTGAGGCCCAAACAAGGAAGTAGAATTCTGAGTTATCGGGGCTAAGCCTGACGCCCTCTCCATGCTAACCCCACCCCCCACACTGTACCTCAGTAGGTTTTTGTTGTTGTTGTCCAGGCTGGAGTGTAGTGGCACAATCAAGGCTTACTGCACCTCCACCTCCTGGGTTGAAGGGATTCTCCTGCCTCATCCTCCTGAGTAAATGAGACTGCAGGTGCTCCACCATGCCTGGCTAATTTTTGTATTTTTAGTAGAGATGGGGTTTCACCACGTTGGCCAGGCTGGTCTTGAACTCCTGGCCTCATGTGATCCACCTGCCTAGGCCTCCCAAAGTGCTGGGATTATAGGTGTGAGCCACCGCGTCTGGCCTCTCAGTAGATTTTCAGGAGCCTCCAGCCCTCCTTCTCAAACCGTTCTGGGCCTGACCATCTATACTGCCCTGTCTCCCCCAGTCACATGCCCCACCAAGTACTACACAGATTCCCCTACCCAGGGTCCCTGCACCATGAGATAAGGTGAAATACCAACTGTGAACCAAACGCAATAAAACCTCTGTTTTTAAGAAGAAAAAAGAAAAGAAAAGAAAACCAGGCTCATTCTATTCTTTTCTGCCAAATGAGAACTTGGAAGAAGGTAGTTTGGGAGCTAATGGCCACCATCTTGTGATTACAAGGGTAGAGCTTACCAGACAATGGCACCAACATGTGGAGGAAAGTAAAGCCAAACCAAGAAACTGAGAGAACCCTATTGTCAATAACAACATCTGCTCTTCTAAATCCAGCCACACAAAAGATCGTATACACCCCCAGACTTTTCTGTTATATAAACTAAATAAACTCCCTTTTAGCTCTGCCAGTTTGGGTTGCATGTTCTGTCACTTGCAACAACAACAAAATCCTAAGTGATGCTCATTCCAACCACTATCCTAATAGAATAAACAAACAAACAAACATGAAAACCACTAGTGAAAAAAAAATACAGCCAAATCATATTATATTCTTCCATTGGGGCCAGAATGAGAAATAAAACTCTTACCATACGTGCAAAACATGCAGTAAGGATTCCACTTCCAGATCCTACATCAAGAGCTTTAGCTCCTTCATGCAACTGATCAAATAGAAGTTCTAGTGCATATGCATGCTGCCAAAAGAAAACAAAATATTCATTAAGACTAAAGTACACATATCATGGCATATAAAGAAAGTTGCCAACTTTCTACAAATTTTCCTACTACTGTCATCTACCAAGATAACCAAAACATATATCCTTATATCTGCCCAGGTATTACTTAAGAAAACTGTTTGATTAGAATTCTTACATTCAGATCACGTGTTTCAGTAATTTTAGACCTCCAGTGTGTGAATTTTTAACTTTTAATTAATTCAGTAAAAAGATTAAAAGATTTATAAGTGAAAAGTCTCCACCATACTCCCATTTCCAACCATCCAGGTTTCACTCTGTAAAGGTAACCAATATTACTAGTTTTTTGTGACTCCTTCCAAAAAGGAAGGAATTCATTCTTTGCATATATAAGCAAATACAAAAATACAAAGGTTAATTTTGTATTTTTAGTAGAGACAGGGTTTCTCCATGTTGGTCAGGCTGGTCTTGAACTCTCGACCTCAGGTGATCCGCCCACCTCGGCCTCCCAAAGTGCTGGGGTGACAGGCATGAGCCACCACCCCCAGCCAGTATTCTCATTACTAAAAATAATCAGATCAGGCTGGGCATGGTGGCCCAGGCCTGTCATCCCAGCACTTTGGGAGGCCGAGGTGGGTGGATCACGAAGTTGGGAGTTTAAGACCAGTCTGGCCAAGATGGTGAAACCCCAACTCTACTAAAAATACAAGAAAATTAGTTGGGCATGGTGGTGGGCGCCTGTAATCCCAGCTCCTCGGAAGGCTGAGGCAGAGAATTGCTCGAAACTGGGAGGTGGAAATTGCAGTGATCCGAGATCGCGCCACTCTACTCCAGCCTGGGAAACAGAGCGAGACTCCATCTCAAAAAAAAAAAAAAAAAAAAAAAATCAGATCCAATAGCAGTAAACACATTTACTACCAGATCTTGGTTGATAAAAATACACATCCATTAATCTATAGTGATGAATTAATACATCATTCTATACACACATAAATGAAAAATAGGGGAAACTTCCCAACAAATATATATACACATAATAAATACATGTAGAAAAAATGATGAAAATCATCCTTTGGGCAGCCATCTCCATAATAACTGATTGATTCAGGTAAAAATCATAAATGGAAGTTAAAACTAGTGTACTAATATTTGAAAAACAGGATTATTTACACAATCTCAAAGGGTTTGCCTCAGATAAATATCAATCAAAAAAGAAAAAATAGTAATTTTACAATGGAGTTCAGAAAAAAGTTTTCCAAAGGCCGGGCGCGGTGGCTCACGCCTGTAATCCCAGCACTTTGGGAGGCCGAGGCGGGCGGATCACAAGGTCAGGAGATCGAGACCATGGTGAAACCCCGTCTCTACTAAAAATAGAAAAAATTAGCCGGGCGCAGTGGCGGGCGCCTGTAGTCCCAGCTACTCGGGAGGCTGAGGCAGGAGAATGGCGTGAACCCGGGAGGCGGAGCTTGCAGTGAGCCGAGATTGCGCCACAGCACTCCAGCCTGGGCGACAGAGCGAGACTCCGTCTCAAAAAAAAAAAAAAAAAAAGAAAAAAGTTTTCCAGTGGAAAAACTTGGTCAACACTACCTTAATCAGATGATCAAAGTTAACATCACAATTATGGGACACACTGACATCAAATGCCTCTGCTAAGATACTTCATTTCTGGGATATGCCAGGCAAAAATGCATAACCCATATTGAATTATGAGGAAACATCAAACAAACCCAAATTGAGGGACATTATATAAAATAAGTGGCCCGCCGGGCACGGTGGCTCAAGCCTGTAATCCCAGCACTTTGGGAGGCCGAGACGGGTGGATCACGAGGTCAGCAGATCGAGACCATCCTGGCTAACACGGTGAAACCCCGTCTCTACTAAAAAATACAAAAAACTAGCCGGGCGACGTGGCGGGCGCCTGTAGTCCCAGCTACTCGGGAGGCTGAGGCGGGAGAACGGCGTAAACCCGAGAGGCGGAGCTTGCAGTGAGCTGAGATCCGGCCACTGCACTCCAGCCTGGGCGACAGAGCGAGACTCCGTCTCAAAAAAAAAAAAAAAAGTGGCCCATATTCATAAAAAGTTTCAAGGTTTTCAAGGTCGTAAAAGAATAAGGAACCATTTCTCAGTCATTCTTTAAAGAAAACTAAAAAGACATGACAATCAAAACTCTCACTCTACCATTTTCTTTTCCTATAAGGAACATTATCAGAACAATTGATGAAATCTGAATAAGGTCTGTAAATTGGCTAATAGTGTTATATCAATGCTGACTTCCAGATCTCAAAAATTGTACTACGGGTATGTAAGAGAATGTCCTTATTTTTAAAGGTAAAGAGCATCGGCCAGGGGCGGTGGCTCACACCTGCAATCCCAGCATTTTGGGAGGCCGAGGAGGGCGGGTCACGAGGTCAGGAGATCGAGACCATCCTGGCTAACACAGTAAAACCCCATCTCTACTAAAAATACAAAAAATTAGCCAGTTGTGGTGGCGGGCGCCTGTAGTCCCAGCTACTTGGGAGGGAGGCAGGAGAATGGTGTGAACCCGGGAGGCGGAGCTTGTAGTAAGCTGAGAACGTGCCACTGCACTGAGACTCCATCTCAAAAAAAAAAAAAAGGTAAAGAACATTATGCCTGTAATTTACTCTAAAAGAGCTTGGGAAAAAGGAAATATAATACACATACACACATACACACACACACACAGGAGGGAGGGGATAAAAGGGAAAGACAATAAATGATAAAGCAAATGGTGAGATTTGCTTTATCAATGGTAAGACTGTGTGGACAAAGGTATACAGGAACTGTACTATTTGTATATTTCTGTAAGTCAGAAATTATGTCAAAGATTTAAAAACATTTGGGCCAGGTGCAGTGGCTCACACCTGTAATCCCAGCACTTTGAGAGGCCGGCGGGAAGATCACCTGAGGTCAGGAGTTCAAGACCAGCCTGCCTAACATGATAAAACCCCGTCTCAGCTAAAAATACAAAAAATTAGCTGGGCATGATGGCGGTCACCTGTAATCCCAGCTACTTGGGAAGCTGAGGCAGGAAAATCGCTTGAACCGGGGAGGTTGATGTTACAGTGAGCCAAGATCGTACCACTGCACTCCAGCCTGGGTGATAGCGAGATTTTGTCTCAAAAAAAAAAAATTAAAAACATTTTATCAACAAAAATAGCCAATGCCAAAGAGAAGGAACGAAAATGCCCTGTTCCACAAAACGAATCTAGGTGATAGAAGCCAAAATACTGGTTACCTTGGGGCTGGGGGATAATTAAGGGAGGGCACAAGAGAACCTTCTGAGATGCTGAAAATGTCCTGGGTAGTGGTTACACATGCATACTGTGTTAAAATTCACCAACCTGTACACTTGAGGTGTGAACTATACTGTGTAACAATTAAAAAAAAAAAATTGACAACTACTTATTCCAATCACTAAAAGTGGATGACCAGACGTTATGGACCTCCTGATGTGATGCAATAGGAAGGACCATTAGGAAGTGTTCCTGAAAAAAAAAAATGTTTCAAGAATAAGTCAGGCCAGGTGCGGTGGCTCAAGCCTGTAATCCCAGCACTTTGGGAGGCCAAGACAGGTGGATCACGAGGTCAGGAGATCGAGACCATCCTGGCTAATATGGTGAAACCCCGTCTGTACTAAAAAATACAAAAAACTAGCCGGGCGAGGTGGCGGGCGCCTGTAGTCCCAGCTACTCGGGAGGCTGAGGCAGGAGAATGGCGTAAACCTGGGAGGCAGAGCTTGCAGTGAGCTGAGATCCGGCCACTGCACTTCAGCCTGGGCGACAGAGCCAGACTCTGTCTCAAAAAAAAAAAAAAAAAAGAATAAGTCAACCACCACCAGGAAACAATTAACCAAATTCAGAATATGGGAAATTCTATATAACAAATACAGAATTGACAAAAATAGTTTTGTCAATAAACAAATAGCATTTAAAAAAAGAAAGGGGTCTTTCTTTAAAAATTAAAAGACTTTAAAAAACTGAAACAAGACCAAAAAGATGCAACGTATAGACTCTGTGTGGATACTGATTTAAGCAAATTAACTATGAAAATTCTTAAGCACCTGGCAAAGTTTGAACATGGACTAGACATAAGATATTAAGGAACATTGTCAGGTATGATAAAGGCATTATAGTTTATTTTTAAAGTCATTGAGATTTATAATAAAGCATCCAGGGATAAAATAATATTCTGTATGTTTGGGATTTGCTTTAAAATACTTCAGCAAAAGACAGAGTTACACCGAGAGCAGTGGTTCACAGCCTGTAATCCCAGTCTTTGGGAGGCCGAGGTGGGCAGATCACTTGAGTTCAGGAGTTCAAGACCAGCCTGGGCAACAGAGCGAGACCCCATCTCTACAAAAATACAAAAATGAGGTGGATGTGGTGGTGCACACCTGTAGTCCCAGCTACTTGAGAGGCCAAGGTGAGAGAAGGGTTTGAGCCCAGCAGGCGAAGGCTGCAGTGAGCTGAGATCGTGCTACTGCATCCAGCCTGGGCCACAGAGCATGACTCTGCCTCAAAAAAAAAAAAAAAAAAAAAAAAAAAAGAGAGTGAGTGAGTTAGATAAAACAAGATTAGCAAATTGTTGGTCATTATTCCAGCTGGGTGATTTATAGGTTCATTACACTATTTTATTTGTATACATTGTACTGGAATTCTTCCATAATTTTCCATAATAAAAAGTTGTGTATTTATTTAAAGCTAAGGTTTCCAAGCACTTGGGAGCTTAAAGAATTTTTAAAAAGTTAAAGCTATCTTTTCCCCCAACTAATATATAGAGAGAAGGCCTTTTTTTTTTTTTTTTCGGAGTGGCGGGGTTTCCCCCTTTTTCCCCCAGGCTGGAGTGCAGTGGCATGATCTCGGCTCACTGAAAGCTCCGCCTCCCAGGTTCACGCCATTCTCCTGCCTCAGCCTCCTGAGTAGCTGGGACTACAGGCGCCCGCCACTGTGCCCAGCTAATTTTTTGTATTTTTAGTAGAG